GATAAAACAATGTCTTACGTGTTAATGTCACCCACTGATCTAGCCTCTGTTCCATATCCAACCTAACAGATAAAACAATGTCTTACGTGTTAATGTCACCCACTGATCTAGCCTCTGTTTCATATCCAACCTAACAGATAAAACAATGTCTTACGTGTTAATGTCACCCACTGATCTAGCCTCTGTTCCATATCCAACCTAACAGATAAAACAATGTCTTACGTGTTAATGTCACCCACGGATCTAGCCTCTGTTCCATATCCAACCTAACAGATAAAACAATGTCTTACGTGTTAATGTCACCTATGGATCTAGCCTCTGATCATACTCTTACCGAGTAGTGTTAATAAAATATCTCAACCACACTATCTGCAAATTCAATAGCTCTAAAAGGCCTTTCGTCAAATACTAGGACTCTTCAGATCGGCTCAGATATAGTAAAGGTTGATACTAGGACTCTTCAGATCGGCTCAGATATAGTAAAGGTTGATACTAGGACTCTTCAGATCGGCTCAGATATAGTAAAGGTTGACAATTGCTGCAATGTGGACTCGATAAAGTTGGTGAAATGTATTTTTTCAAACATTTTATTTATGTCAACACACCGGAATTAGGGTAAGGAGTTTTTGTAATAATAAATTTGTATACAATATTAATTTTTTTAAATTAACTTGTTAATTATTCAGAAGTGGCAAACCACCAGGTGGACAAAATCGTTTTTGATGTTAATATTTTTTCTATGCTGTTCGACACTCGAACTGTCCATGTCTGTTTCCACGTTAATCGGTTTAATTTCATCATGCTAACTTTAACCTCGAAAGATCAAGGTGACGAGATTTGAGTTATACATATTCATGAAACTAAACATTCACAACATATTTCAACACTAACATCGTACATGGTTTGCAGGTCCGGTTTGTTATATATTTTTTTTCTACATAGCTGTTTGCTTAGGTATACGGAGAACCACTCAACTTACTACAAAATCTCACATACACGTACATGGCGCGCCAATCTATAAAAAGATAAGCGTGAAATTATTTAAGCCTAAATTACATTTATCGAGAAGTAGACAAGTGAAACTTCTACGGTTAGTGAAGCTATAGTAATGCTGGATTTGGTATAATACGAATGGCTGTATCCGCAGATATGGCTATGAACTGATGACCATATCTACTCTCTGATTGCTACATGTTACTGGAGACTGTAAGCATCGCTATGTTTAGACATTTGTCACAAAATGGAGCATCTAACGAGTTTAGTTAAATGTTAACATTGTTTTCGATAAATTTTATTGCTTTTCAGTCAAGGTGAACAGGAGCAAAAAGAAAAAAAAAACTTAAGGAAACAAATATGGATTTTGGTTATTTACAAAAATTCTTACCCAACACGAAACCTTAAATCAAGCAGTATAAAATTATCTTTAGTCTATTTAAGGTAAATATTAGTATTAACGTCTAATTAAGACGAAAACAAACTGTCTGCAGTCTAGTTACGATTTTATCACTCCTACTCCACCGCCATCCCAAAGTCCAGACTCCTACTCCACCGCCATCCCAAAGTTTATTCTACTTTATTTCATTACCTTCTAAACTAATGGTGCGAAACTGTTGCTGTGGAAACCAGACAAATTCACTTCTGTTAATTTAAATCGAAACAGAAAAGTTAAGTTTATAATACTTGGCTGAGTGTTCAGATTTTATAGGGTTTCCTCCTCTTTATCGTACATGTTAAATTGATGAAACAGCAAAATATCCAAAGTTATACACCAATATTGTGTGGGGAAAGGTATTGCAGCCTCATAGTAGAAACTACAATGTTACAGTGACACGTCCTCCAGCCTCACGGCTGTAACTACAGGGACACGTCCTCCAGCCTCACACCTGTTACTACAGGGACACGTCCTCCAGCCTCACACCTGTTACTACAGGGACACGTCCTCCAGTCTTATACTAAAATCAGTATTACAGTAAAATATCTCCGATCTTTAATAAAAACTAAAATAAATTCAGTGCGACTTTTGGAATACGTAATCGGAATACTTAGATCATTACAAAGAAAACATTATAGTGCTTTAAAGTTATAAGGTTTAAAATGAACAAAAATCACAGGAGCATACAAAGGCCTCACAAAATGGCGACTCGTGATTCAAAATGGCGTACTTCTGTATACTGTGCAGTGATTAGAAATGAAAAGGTGAAATTGTCTTCACTAACTCTTCCATCACATCTATTATTGGTTATCGAGATATAACAAACACGGTGACACGTCAAATAAATTATACTTTGAAATATCTCAATCTTTGATTTATAAGGAACTTAGCTTTATCACTAGCTGGCGCTGTGTATGACATGACTGCGCTAAATTACAAATAAACTATATTTACAAAATACTACTTTAAAAAGATTTTTTATTCATTCCTGATCTTCTAAGTTCAATTTTCTACAGGTATATGTAAGAAAACGATAGAATAAAGAAGATTTCTGATAATACGTTTTAAAATCTTAGCGTTCTCACAAAACACTTAAAACTGCCGAACTGATAAGCCTTGGTATTAAGTGTAAACAAAACTTCGAAGGCACTGAATACAGCAGATACATTCTGGTTAGCATTGTTATACGTTGTTCTTTACTTTAACTCTCAAGTTAATTGAATAACTACCTTGTTCAAGTTCCTATAGGTTATCCAACCGGTAGATTTTACTGTAAACATTATTCCATATTTCACTGCAATAATCGTAGAGATTTAGGAAATCACGAGTCACTTGAAATACCTTGGATTTGATAGTTTTATTTTAAAATTAGAAGCGATATTTTTAGATGTACAGATTAATGTTAAAATGAACACCAGACTTTACACCATTGTTCTTGTTAAAATGAACACCAGGCTTTACATCATTGTTCTTACCACGTGATTTGGGAAAAAATACTTCAAGCAAAAAACATATTCGAGATCACAAGGATGATTGAAAGTTACATGTTTCAGCAGAAAATTAAGAATATACATCTTCAGGTGGAAAACAAAGCTACAACAGAACAGTGGCAAGATTTTCACCAACTAAACGAAAGCCGTTATTTACTAAACTTGCATACAAAGGATTCTTGAATAACTAGCGAACCCATGGCCCACATTTACAAGGCCACTATAAACTAGCGAAGTTTAACAATGCCGGCTTTTAACCACCGCGTGAGGAAGTTTAACAATGCCGGTTTTTAACCACCGGGTAAGGAAGTTTAACAATGCCGGTTTTTAACCACTGTGTGAGGAAGTTTAATAATGCTTCTATAGTATAAAGCAGATTCTTGGTTGCCACAGCAACGAATCCACCAATATACATATCTGGGTTATAGAAATATCGATCTCGGAATGAAGAGAAGCGTATACAGCGTGAGAACGCGTATATACGTGGAGGAAAATGAGTTTAAACATGTTTCACGTTTAAAAATTAAATATCCAAAACAACGTACACATTTGAATTATAAAATCAGCATAGATTTACCATTTGTTGAATAGCTTTGAAATAACGGTTTACCACAGCCTGCTTTAAGTGTGAAAGAATACGATCTTGAATCAAAAGAAAAAAAAATAGGAAAACAAAACCTAAACATAGAGAAACGTCTCCTGAAGTACACGTGCAAGTTTTCAATTTCATAAAGGTTTTGTTCATTTATCATAGGTTTCAACATTATCGGAAGATGACAAATATTATTATACGGCACTGTATTCTAGGTTTGTTCATTTATAAAACTAAATATCAGACAAGTGATGGAGTCTTGGGTTTCAACATTATCGGAAGATGACAAATATTATTATACGGCACTGTATTCTAGGTTTGTTCATTTATAAAAACTAAATATCAGACAAGTGATGGAGTCTTGGGTTTCAACATTATCGGAAGGTGACAAATATTATTATACGTCACTGTATTCTAGGTTTGTTCATTTATAAAAACTAAATATCAGACAAGTGATGGAGTCTTGGGTTTCAACAT